GAGCAATATATATAAATGTAATATGTATAAAAAATAATAATAATTCAGGTCTGCTTTTGTCTGAGGGAGTTTAAAACGTGTGTAATTTGTTGTAAATTGTGGTCAATGTTTGGTGCCGAATTCAATACAAAATGGCGGCCCCCATATAAAAAAAGTTCAAATAGGCAGAATTTTTAAAGATTTTATTTACAGTGGTGTGAGATGATATTCTTCAAAATGAGGGCAGTTAAACCAGTGTGGATAACCCCATTTAACTAGGACAGTGGTAAACGTTAACACTATCGTCTATGGAAAATCATTTGGTTCTGCGGTCCCTATATGATGAAGCATTCCCGAAAGAATACTACAATGTACGACTGCGAATGTTTGAATTTAATTTGATTCTTTTATCTATAAACATCTTGATATTTGATAGAAATCTTCAAAACTTGTAAAGAATGTTTGTAACAAATACAGGAAAATGCGATATCATCAGTAGTTTTCTAAATGCACTTGTTATGTCATTTCTGTGGGGTTTTGAGAAGGTATCGATTCAAAAGTATTTCTATAAAAGCTACCCACTTTCTTTCAAACAGATGGATGTTTGTAATTCTATTCGCTGGCTTTGACATATAATCATTGACGTTAAGTCGTAAATTCATTTCATTCGTAAGAAAATATGACCTTAAGATGGACTAAAATAGCTTCAAGGTGGCAGTTTTATATAGCAGTGTAGGTGATAAATGATAGCATTAGCCTCGCGTGCAGGCTGGCAGGTCGACTTACTAGTGGCATTCCCCTCGTTTATATGCAAACTATTCTCTAGAATCATTATTCAGTTCGATAAAGATGATTTTTGCCTACTTCGACCTAATTAATTACATCAGTTTAAATTACATTTTAAGTCTAAATGGGCTTTTCTATTTTTAGTTGTCATTTTTTTGCAGAACAACTTTGAACTTTAATCAATCGAATACTTAGGCCTATAATGATAGTTATTTTCAACTTGAAGTCTTTTAAAATTCCTGCAACGTGTAATCCATGGCTGAAGTGTAAAGAATAGAAGTTGAAATATGACCTAAAGTACGCTTTAATTGTACATAAGGTCAAGGTCGCGTTATCAAGGGCGAATCTGTAGCTTTTGGTGCTTCTGGGTCAGGTTTAAATGTAACAGTATTTGTACAATGTACAAAAACAGTCACCTAGCGCCTTGCTTTTTTCGCTTATGAAAACAGCTCACCTTTGGCTCGGTACATCATGTAACAGTCACTGTCATATACCCTCACAAGATCTTTATAGTTTTTTTGTGAGGTACATACAGTTTTCTTTTACTGTATCCGATCTGAAGCAGTTTTTTCTCCTGCCAATTATCAATTTGCAAATGTCAATATGTGTTTTTACGCTCATTTGAGTTATGTATCTAATTTTTGGAAGGTTTGGTTGTGGGTTGGGTTTTGGTTGGGTGTGGCGGTAGTGTGCCAGGTCATTAAGTAATTCTGCAGTGGCATTTCTTTTAAAAACATTGTTTTGATTTATTGAGCAACATTTCTTCACAACAAGACCCTAGGATCTGGGTTGAATTAAACGACAATTTGATGAATTACTTTCTGATTCATACCAAAAGATATAGATTTTGAAATATTATGTATTTGATATCTTTTTATCCACGGCAGTATCAATCACACTGCTGCATCAATCCCGGATTTGACCTAGAGATCAAGCTTTTATGCAATACAATCAATAACGTATTAGAAATGAGCTATCGCGCGATATGGTCATACAGTCATGTTGCTATCTAGAATACGGTTTCTCTTAAGGAAAAGGAAAAGTCCTTAAATTTCTTTTTGAACACATCAAGGTTTTATGTTGCGAAATCAATGTTTTATTTCGATGTATTGTAAAGCATTAGAAAGGTTTCATTGGGGATATTCAGATGGTGATTTTCTTAGTTTCAAAAAGTGAATGAATTAAAACATAATACATAATAAATTTTCAAAGATATTCTGATTTGCTTATTTTTTTCAGACGTTTTTCTCTAACAATTATACTTTAGGATTTTGTTTTTTTCTGAATATTTGGACAAGCTATCGTTAATCCTTTTATATGGGGTTTGCTTATGTATTGCACACTATCAAGCTACCAAACACCTTTATACAATTTATAAGTTTAAAACTTAACATATATACACCAGGAAATATCAAATTTATGCATGTTTTATTCCAGTAAATTCCAATTCCAAACATTTATTTCTCAAATTAAACTCGAAAATTGATTTTCCAGTTAAAGGACTATATTGACTAAAGGTTAAACCTTAATACTCAAGTAAAAAGAACCTCTCAAAAACTATAAAATAGATTTTAAATATTGATACTCCAGTTACCAATTTATTTTGAAACTGGTTAATATCAAACCTATAAACTCCAATAAACTTCTTTAATGTAGCATTGGAACTCACGGAAGTATCTAACCTGTGTTGCCCAATAACTGTCTTACCTGACTGACACCAGGAATTACCATTTTTTATATAGTGTTCAAGAAAATATTAAACCCATAGGACTCCTGGAAATGTCAAATCTCCGTTTACCAGGAAGTACTAAAGCTGTATAACTCCACTAAAAACCAACCATAAATAATCCAGTGTATACCAAGTGTAAAATATGTGCATTGATAAGGTTGCCTTACAAGCGTCAGCTGTAGGGAATTCCCCTTAATCTCAGCGGTACAGCAATGGGTTTGAGAGCCAATGGTCGCAGGTTGGAACCGCAGTGACGGCACTATCTTCATCACTATTCCTCGTCCTACTCCACCAAGTCCAAAGAAAAACAAAGTGCTTGATTAAACCCCTTAGAAAACCAACATTTAACAATAAAACAGTTGGGTTTGTCTGATTTTTTTTTAGTGAAACATATACAATATGCAACTGTGAAAGTGTTTGTTTAAGTTGCAGTCGCATTTTATTATCTACACTTTATTTATGCATATATATTCACTGCAAGACTTGTGTGATTGGCATTTATTTTTCCTCTTTTCCTTGTGCTGAACCGTGGAACATCGTCAGCTTGAATAGTGAGAAGAAGAACACGGTGTTTTTTACTTTGATATCTGAACGGTTGTGTCGTGTACAGGCAGTGCCGGATGACGTGTACTCTCCGTGATGACGGGCGTTCAGACGGGAAGAATCGACCAGGGGTAGTTAGACAGGACAGACCCGAACAACTGTCAACGGAACGTGATGTACATTATCTACAAATGGCTGCTCATCCGGGTTAAATGGAACTGTGACATCGAACCTGAATAATCCCAGTCATTCCAAGTCCACATAGTTTACGGTGAGCAGGCAGAATCGATGTAAAAACAAAGTCAGTGATTAGGCCAGCTTCTAATCCCGGAGGTATACATGGCGGTATAACCAGCCACTGGCATTCGATTATTGAGTTTTATTACATACTTACTAATCAGCTCCCGCCGTATCACATCCCAAAACCCGTATCAGCCCGCAAAACCCATATCACACCCATTTTGGAAACGCACGTGTAACATTTATATTTATCAACGACGAAACATTATTTTATTTTTTTAAATAGAATTTTGATATTCATCCGTTTCTACAAAACATATCACTATCATTCTCAGAATTCATTTGTATTCCCTTTTCTTTCTTTTGAAAAACAAGGATGATCTAGTTAATCAACACAATGTATGATTTACACTAGTTTGTTGATCCTGTACCAAGGTTTAGGATATGAACTACAATTGTACTGTAGATATCGTTACTGTATCTTGTCTATACAACTCATATCCGTGTTTGTTATTATTATCATATCTAGGGTACCGTGCTGTTGAAAATTGCGACATTACAACCTATAAGATGCCGCGGAGGTGCAAAATTCAAAGCCGCTAGTACGTGCATTTGTCGGCTAGTCGATTTGGTGCCGTATAATTCAAGGCATGACAGGACGCAATAAATAAAAATTTGCCTTCCTCGCAGTTTGTATTTAAATATTTTGCGTTCAAGACAATGTATCATGCACACTAGTGTATTTTGTTTCAACGGTTAAGGGCCAGAGCTATCTGTTATAGTTGTACTATATTCAATTAATGCATCCCTTCGGTTTTTAGGTTAAACTTTTGATATGTACTCAAAGGACTTTATTATAATATGTATAGCTAAGGGTCTGATCGTCAAGAGTACTACTTCCTTCTGCAGGTACAAATATACGCATTTCGTATAGTAAATTTGCTTTAACAGATCAACCCTTTTGCTGCGCGAGGAGTCCAGTTCCCTGTTTCAATTTTGCTATATTTTATATATATTTTACAATAATAATCGTTAACCTACTCTTTGATTTATATACATTTGAGATTTGCTGCTTGTAATCCGCCTTAATGTAAAATGCATATTTCCATTAACATTTCAAGGAAACATAGGATTTCACCTGCTACCGAACTTTTTCATCCTGGTTATTCAAAGTCTATACCTAAGAAGAGGTAGCCCTGCGGAATACTCTGCTCAGACCAAGTCACGCGCGTAATTCGTGATTTCCTATAACAGTGTACTTATGTCTCTTTACATTTGCACTTTTGGAGATCTTTACGGCGTAAATCTCTCACTAGACAATCCAATGGTAAATGTATGATGAAACGTTAGCGATAAATAACCTCCAAGATGGTTGATCTTTATAGATTTGTAAGATGATACGGGTAAACAAGGGACACATGCCGTCGTCGCATGATCATGTCACAGGTTGTTTTTCATCTTTACAAAAGTGAGTATGAATGTTGAGGACAGTTTTTGGTTTGGTTTGTTTGTGGTTTACGTCCTCTTAACAGCTATGATCATTTAAGAACGTGCCAGGTTTTGGTGGTGGAGGAAAGCCGGAGTTCCCGGAAACCCCCCACTAACCTACATGTACGGCAAATACCTGATTCTTTGCAATGAAAAAGTATACTGTATAATGTACGTATGAGTCGAAGTTCTTTCAATCAATTTGGCTGCATTCAGTAACGATAAAGCAACACACTTTCGCTATGACATTTATTCATGTGTACATATATAAAGGTATCGTACATTGTATTAATTGCGTTAGCCGCACGAAACAAGCTGCTGATGAGGGCCAACACGGTACTCCCAGTTACTAAAACACCAGGATCTCACTTAGCAGCGAATTTTTGTCACTTTTCAACACACGTCTGTCAATATGGCAACACAGATGTGATAATTATACCAAAGCTGTCAGTCAACATGCAATATAGTTTAGTCATCAAAGAAGATATAAGCACAAAACTTAATGTAGCTACAGTATGAAATTATTCATTTCAAATAAATGTTTTAGGTTTCAAATTAAACTAATACATATTTTATAAAGAGAGAGTAAGAATTATTTGAACAATGCATAAGCATATACTTTTCAGTCGTTGAAATGAGTGCTTCGCCTCCATTCATGTAACATTAATTGTAATATTTTGTTTTTCTTCGTGAGCAGTGGTTCACATCAACTGATACCAAGGTATAAATATCAATGCAAAAACACAGTTGGTATGTCGTCGAAGACACATATTTCATTCTAGAACTTAAACATTAAAACAAAACTTTCTACAAACTATGTTACAAATATTAATCCACAGAAGAAAAGCGTGTGACAGAAAGAGTTAAATCAAATGGTTATGAAAATAGTTGTATTTGAAGCTATAAAAAAGATCTTTAAAACACTGCTATACTGTTGATATTTCACATCCAGTATTGTATACTGTGATGTGGATTTTTACGAGTATTATAATTTGTTCACGTTAGGCGAAGACGTATTGATACTTGACATACACTGGACAAATCAGTACTTACATGATATAAGGGTCAAATCGAGAATATTGTATACTCTGTATCTGTTTCCTATCCGTCTCCTATCATCATTGGCACTGATCTAATTCTTATGTTCCTAAAGTATGTTCATTATGTAAATATTCATAGTTCATTATATTGCTATTGTTTGAGATGTACCTCCTGGGAGAGGGCTTGTAAAGGCTTTGCTTGTTGCCCAATTCCCATTAAATCTGATTGATTTAATAAAATATTTTGAAATGACAAATATTGTATACTCGCACACATCCACTTATGCAGAACATTTTTTTACCGGTATAATCAATTGACCAGCAAATACATTGTACATGAATCACAACTTAACACTGATTAAAAACCTTTAGTTGAGTGACAAACATCATTAAGCGAGTCTGTGCCTACATTTTTGCTTACTGGATCAATTAAACACAAACATTATAAAATGTTATGGAAAGTTAAACCAATTGTTGAGAAAGTAAAAAGAATTAAAAATATCTTGAAAATGCATTATGGACCCACATAAAAATCGGCAGGTACAACATATGCTCTGGGAAAAAAGCAATATGATACCTCCTGGTATGTACATATAGTAGTTCATAGTGAGAGATTATGTTATGATCACGAAGAAGCAACAATGAAGGGAAGTAGTCAGATTGTTTGGTAGCAAGGTAACCATTGTTTTCATACTGTAATGCCACTTTTGTTTGAAGCTAGAACTAATCTTTGGTATCTTGAGATGAACATTATTGTAGAAAATGATATGAATGTACCTTTTGATATTCTGTTTATCATGGAGAGTTTAAGGTATTTAGTAAGTATCTCATCTCCAAAATGATATGTCTGGTAATGAGTTTTAGATTAAAAAAAAAGTCTTACCATAATTAATACAAGCATAACGAGTGTCATAAAATACTAATATATTTTGGTCGTTTTATTCTCATTATTTTGGTTAAGAATGAAACGAATCGGTCGTAGTATATCTGTACTAATTGGAAAAAAACCCATAACTGGATAAAAACTTTCTTGCTGTTTGCTGAACTTCGTTCTAGAAAAAAGATATGTACTATAAACAATCGTTCTAGTGCAAATGTTCTTTGATTAAGGTATATTTGAGTTGGCTGATATGCAAATACAGAGTATAACACATTACAATATGTATAAGATTGATGGTTGTATGTCAAACAACGCTTCGACCAGCGCTACAACTGGTATGGTTAAGGTTATTTGTCATTGAGCGTATTTACCAATGGATTTCTGGTACGTGATAAAAACTTCCACGTTAGTACCCATTCCACATCTTTCTATGATGATACAATCATTTTGTGGTGTAGGACATGTATGTCATTACAAACTGCCCCATACAATAGCAAAACCACAAGACATACAACTCGTATGATTTATGTCTTTTATATCTTAAAAGCGTTATTGTTTTTCATTTCTCCATGAATTCATCAATACCAACAAAATATATAAAAACAACACATGATTTACAAAAGTACATTATTAGTTGTAAAGATACGTACGATATCTTTGTACCAACACATCATTAACTTCAAAATATTGACCTGCGTCTTCGCTGATAAGACATTTATTTACAAAAGCAAGTATAGTCAGTGCTATATATTCCCCATTACTTGTGTTATTTCTTGTCAGCATTTAGAAATATGCTGCTTGTACTTATTCAGCAAAATATATTTCGTACTAATTGATTTCGTTATTTGTTTGCTTTAGTTCAGCCTGTTAGACGATATGATATGTACGTAATAATTGGTTAGATATACCGTCAGCTGTAACAATCCAATATCATTATATGTTTCAAATGATTATCATTGCGTATGTATTAATGAAGAGAGTTTTTTGGCTATGCATGGTGTTTCATTTGTATCCAACAAGCTTTATATATATTGATAACAATAATACAAATGTGTTCAAATAAACTGAAAGTTTTAAGTGACTTTCATGTTCTGGGTTTCAAAATTATGACGAATAGATAAAAAAGGCAATATGTCAACATTTAAATTGTTTTACAGGAAAATAAAAATATCGCCTTAAACAAACAAAAGGTGAAGATATAATGAGAAATGGCATAACTGATTCCGACCGATTCCGATACAAAAACAGGGAGTAAGGTTGGGGGTATAGGCGGAGGGGTCGAGGGGGTAAGTTTCTTACATATTATACGAAAACGTATCTATAATATCACAAAGCGATCATTCTCACTTGAAACGATACTGATGATTACTTCAATTTTGACAATAATTTTCAAAGTAATAATAAAAAAAACATACTTCTCTTCAAGATTTTCTTAATATAGATTCTATTGATAGATATTTACCCAGTAAAATCTATGTTGTATGTGATTGTAACGTAAGTGGGTAACGTAGTCTAATCGACGAACCTTTTATATGTATGTCATGTCAGAATATAGCCAATGAAAATTATTTAAAAGCCGAAAAAAATAAAGAAAAATGCTTAACTTCACATTTTTGTTTTTGAACCTTTTGGCATGCACAAAGTTCGGTTCATTTTGAGGCAGGAGTAATAACAAGAATAATCAATGTTGATATAAAAGTTCCAAGGAAGAATATCCAGAACAGGATCCTGTCCACCACTTGAGCAACCCTCCGCCAATCCTGTACAATCTCATAATCTCGGTCCCCTTTCTCGTGCTTTTCGAGAATTCGTTTTAAAGCTTGTATTATTTCATCATGCGCTTTATTATTAGAATGTCCCCTTGTGAGGGGTGGGCGCATGTGGCGTCGTAACGAGTCGCTAGAACCCGCATTAAACCGTCCGTCACCATTAAAGCGCCCGTCACTTGTACGGTGATCGTGTATAGTGGTGCCCTCCCGTTCTGTAACAACAGTATCCGCCATGCCATTCTCCAACTGAATTTCGTTTTGAAGTTCTTGGGCAATGTTATCAAGTGTCACCTTTAGGGACATGGTTCGGATGAATTTAGACTCTCGTGGAGTAAGGTATGAGCTAAACGTTTTGTCGTCGTTTATACACAATAGGGACTGCATCCTTCCAAAACAAAGGGTGCGTATCCACGGTGGTACTTCAACTCTGTTAGGGCCCCGGTGGTGCAGATTCAGCACAAATACAGTCATCATGACGGATAGAGAGGTTAAAGTCATCACGATGGTCAGATATATACCTGAAAAGACAAGAAAACTATACAAATCATTTGTCTTCCTATCATAACTGTCAGATGTAATATAGACGATAACATACCTCGGGACTTAAATGAATTAAAATATTGACACACTCTATTCTATTTGAAAGAAATAATCTACAAGATTAAGCCGATACAAGATAATTACAAAATTGACGTCATTGTTAGACACGTGACCGAATGCATTGATACTTTATATATTTCATTGTTTTACATACTGACATAACTAACGTTTGCTACTTTGACTTCAAGAAATAATTTAACTTATTCCTTCTTCTTAAAGGTATGATGACAGTAGAAAATGTTAAAATAATTTCAGAGATGCAACAATGACCGTCTGCAAGCAAGGACAGAAAACAACCTGGTCAAATTAACCCACATCCTTCGGTTTTTGTTATTTGTGTTTCAGAACCAGATATAAAGCAAACATGGATAGTTATCCTGTTTTACCTGGAAAATCACACTTAGAAAACAGCATATACATGAACACATACATATACACTTACATATTTTGTCTCGGTTTGTTTTTAACACAAATAGAAAATGACAACTTATTTCGCTATTCATCCAATAAGGGGCGGACTGGGTAAACATGTCAACTGTCCCCCTTACTGCCTGCAGTATAAGAGTGCTTTTGGACGAAATGATTTGATTTGACAGCTGACTGAACTGATTCGGCAAACTGTTGCTTAGCTTAGTGAGTTGTTTTTAGCGGTTTAGAGTCGAGACACCGGTCATTTACACTCTTTGCTGGACAAAGGAAACAGGCGTGTTCAAAAGCTCGCAAAATAAGTTTTCTCTTTCCTGTTGGTGTTCAAAACAACCTTAGCCTTTATTATTCATACCAAACTGATGAATCTTATTCCGAATACATATATTGTCGTATTATTATAATTTGTAATGTCGTCGCTTCATTAAAACTGGCTCTAAGATGAGGTCCTTACAAGTACAAATACAAAAAAATCAATGTCGAGTTGTAATAAGCAGATGATGGATCCTGAAGGCATTGTGTAGACAAAATGGCGCTAGGGATTACATTGACTGCCTTAGGTATGTCTGGTCTGATCGACACGTCTTTTCAAACTGTACAAAATGTAATAACACATAAAAACATATCCACTTTATGATTACCAACGCCTCAATCATATATTTTAATGTTATATACCAAACAAAGGAAAGGATATTACATTCATCCATTTACTCCCTTGCAAATGAAGTTTCAAAATGGCAGAGCCGATCATGTATGGTTAAACGTATTTACGATAATTTTCTGAACATATTAAGAACAACCTCAATGTTGGTTAAATCAAGAGCGAAATGTAGGCTAACTTGTATGTATTGCACCGGCGATATATCTCAAGTTCAACTCATTTGTTTACTTCTTTGGCCTCTGTAGAAGCCGTCATGCTTTATCAAAATATATGATTATAAGACTATTTCATGCCCAGGGGTGTAGGATAGGGAAGTTCCACCCGAGGGTTTTTCAGATTTGGTAAAACCCGAGGCTTTGCCGAGGGTTTTGCCAAATTTGAAAACACCGAGGGTGGGATTTCTCTATCCTACACCCTTGGGCATGAAAGATTATTTTTTCTCTCATGTTCCTGTGTAATATAGAGCTGTCCAGGGTAAGAAAGGGGTGTAGGACATTTCTATATTACACCCCATTTCACGTGACGTGACGTCATAATGGCTCAACAATGACGTGACGTCACGAATTTGGATGACACAATGCAGAAAAGGCGACGTGATGAAATTAAAACCTTTTACGATATATTTACCGTACACGTTTGAAAGATGAGCTTCATTTTTATGCACACACTTGTTTGCAAATATTGGATATACTAAATCTGGCTGGCTAATTCGTTTTCGTCTAAAAAGTTTAGGAAGAAAAATGATATTTTCAAAATGGTGGCCAGTCCAAACGCATTTTCATGGTTTGTTAGCTTATTCTGGTGGTTGGAATGGGAGAATGATATATCCCATTAGTTACATTGACATATATAAAATAAAGAATTATAGTTGTGAAATACCCCAATCTGATTAAAATCATATGGTACATGGCTTCGTTAACTTCGTACTATGCCTGAACATCTGAGTGTGCCGCGGTCAGGGTCACGTTCAGGTGATCTTTATATTTATAAATTTTGACCAATCAGAGACCCTCTTTCAAAGGGGCGCTCGGAGTTGTAACAAATATGGCGGACATTGATGAGAATGATGCGAAAGTTCTGAAGTTATTTGAGATTGATCGTCTGAAACACGAACAGAAAAAGATATTCGAAGCTTTAAAGAAGAAAGACTGTATGGCGGTGTTGCCTACGCAATTATTACCCATTGGGTACGTTTTCCTTGGCGTCGTAGAAACGTCAGTTCCAGCGCCATATTTGTTTTGGAAAACTAATATGTTCGATACCCCTCGCTATATATCTATCAACCATGATATTCCGATTCGCTGGCAAACTTTTGCAAGCGCGCCTCTGATTGGTTTATCTAAAGGTCACTTGAACGTGACCCTGACCGCGGCACATTCAGATGTTCAGGCGGAGCCATGTAACAGATGATCAGATTGTAAATACCCATGCCCTTTACAATGTTGTATGCAGTATACTGCTTTGGGTGCTGATCACGAAAGTTTTAGTATGATATGCAAATTGGTAACAGCTCATTGATACGGTATAAACTTACATATCCACGCACATTCGATATTTTCTCAGTATACTTGTATCAGGATAACTAAATACGGTTATTTAACGCCAAATTATGTACCTATGATACATGCTTAATATATCATATTTTATTGAATACTTTAGCCTTAAACTTTATTGGTAGCACCTTGGTCATATGTTCGATCAAAATTGAAAAAAAAAGAAGTTAAATAACCCCTTTTTCATTGAAAGAAAAAGTATGACAATATCTGGTCAATATCTGTCCTATATTTTGTTCTTGTGATATCCTGTTCAATAACTTTTTTCTCAGAATTACCATATATATGGCCTTATAACTAGTATTTGGTCTCGGAAATATAGTTCATACACAAAATGTTTTATTGGGTCCAATTTAAATTCATCTTTTATTTTTGGAGGAAAAAGATCGGGACGAACTGGCAGACGGGCGGCCGTGAACAGAGTACAACGTATATGCCATAGCTTCAACACACCAATATAATATCTAACAATCGATACCGATATGAATAAACAACAACGAGAACTTTAGAGAGACAGTAATTCAACGGAACATCTTAAAAAGAAACAAAACCAGGGCATATTTTTAGCACCACATGTTGCACCCTTCAATATGTCTCTTGTCAAATGTTGAGAACATCAATCTTAATATACATTGAACAACTCTATAATCCTAGTAGGCGCTGCAACACCATAATAGAAATCAGGTCACTGTGATGATCGTAAAGAAAATCATAAACATTGATTAAAACATCTTAGGTTTGAAACCTTGGTTGATATTTTCATTGCTTTACACGACGCATCAAGACATTTTTGTTATAAAGATTATTCCATCTAGTAGCAAATCAATATCATCTGAACGCCCTTAACAAAAGAGACTATTGTATTATATGTTACTACTGGGGAAAGGTCATTCCTAGTATGAATTTAGCTTAATATAGATTTTACAGATCACGGAATAGCTGTGCACGTAAAGTGACTATTCGAATACCAATAGCTTTTTCAATATTTTGATAAAATATTTCAAAACTGGCATCATTCAAACTGAACAAAAAGCATGTGAACAATCAGATATTATCAATTTATTTATCAAGGGCCAGATCGTGGGGTGAAAACACTGAAATTCACATAAAAAGATTATTTGACAATAACATATTCATTGAGACAATTGTTTACAAACATTCTATAATCAACTTATCCGAGATAAAAACAATACTGACAGCAAAAACGTCTAGCATAAAATATTTACTTATAAATACGAAAATTCGTGGTGATTTATCGAAGAAGTATAAGATTTAGTTTTCTTGTCGGAAAATCAATACTTATTCACTGTTACAATCACTGAACATTGAGTTCTAGCATCCCAATCGAGTTTACTTCTTAAAAATAATATGTACTTAATATAAAAAGGTTTCATCTCCATATAGGACTAGATGACCTTTCACATGATTTACATGTATTAGTTGCTTAATGATAGGTAATAACAAAACGGATGAATTCAAACCAAACACATTTAACACTAGGTCATATCTTGAATATTAATTTTAGTTAAAAAGTATGATTTAGTTTGTTCCTTTCAATTTCGTTTGTAACAGAAATCGATGATTTCACGAACATTTTGAATAAAGAAACCGTCATTGTTGGAATATAAAGAACTAGACGGTCGCTTATATCAATAGCGGTTAAATGACTACCGGGCACGGTACCGCTGTCTTACTGGTGTACGAGAGCTCTGCTGTTCAGTTTATGTTCAGTCACGACTTAGAGAAATGAAACAAACTTTGCAATTTGTGGACCTAAAGGGTAAACAATCCCCATGAGACTACCAGCGTAAATTGGCCGGTGATGAAGGCGTTTCCGTGAGGCTCCTTCGGAGAACGAAAACAAATTTGAACGCGCTGGATTAAATGGGATAATAGGAAAAACTCTAATGGAAACATATTTGTTTAATGGAGATGTCAAAATAAGAGTAAAACTGAAAAAGGAGACTATCTTCTCCAAGGACAAGCTAAATCCTGTTTTATACAACTTTGGTAATGTAACGTAAATGAAAGATATAGTTAAAGTGAAATATTTTGAGAAATATTCCATTAGATAAAACCAAAAATAGATAAAAGGAGATCTTGATATACTCCTTTCATTCCTAGCATCCCCAGATTTTCCAAATTTAATACAGCACTAGGGGCTTTGAGGTATAATAACAATGCTTATTTCTAACTATATATTCTACGACGTGGCACGCCTAATGAATATCGAATAACTCATTTTAACATACTTGTTTTCTTCTTACTATATTTGTAA